TGTTAGATGCTGAAAACTATTTTTTTTTGTCTCTTTATTATTATTCTACTATGTATTATAACATAGAGTATGGAAGATATATTGTATATATATTTATATATATGATATAAAGTTCAATTTTTATAATTTTCGTAATAATCATGCAATCAATAATATTTTACTAATATATCACTACCATTTCTACCACTATTATAACCATTAAAAATTATAATTTAGAAGATGAATCAAATTCAGGTGCACCTCCAGCAAGTCCTACTCCTAGTTTGAAGAGTCTTAAATCAGGTGGAAGACCTTCATTATTTGCAACTTTTGCACGAAGAGATTCTACAAAAAGTGAACATTCTTCAAGGAGTCGTTCACCTACTAGTCCTAGACCATCTTATGATTATACGGACGGAATACATACTCCTCCAAGTCCAACCCCGTCAAGAAATTCCATGATTTTTGAACGTGATATTGAAAATCATAAGCATCTCAGTGTTCATGAAGCTATTGATCTTGCTATCCCACCTGTTTTAGACGATGCAGCTGAGGCTTTTGTAAATGAAGAAATACCCATATTTCTCACAGAAAGTATAGACGACGATGATGGTGTAATTCAAAATGGATCTCAAGTAGTGAGTGATCATGAAGATCAACAAGAAAAGCAAAATGAAAAGGAAAACAATTGATCATGAGAGAGAGAGAGATAAATAAAGACATATTATAAATATTAGGTTATTATTAAATTTGATTTTTTTAAATTTAATTAAATCCTTAATATTTAATATTTAATATTTATCATATCCGACATTAATTAGTTTTATTATAGTTTTTTATGAAAAAAAAACTGTGGAGAAAAACTATTATTTATTCATTTAGGAGGAAAAATTGTCACATAATTCAATTTTTATTATAATAATATAAATGGGGTTTCATATTTATTACTATCATCATAATCATCATTATTTTTCATCAACAATTTATTTATTAATTATTATTATTATTACTACTACTATTATTATTACTACTACTACATTTACATTATCATTAAATTAATTTATATTATATTTTATATATATATTTTTTCATGATTTTTTATATAGCTTCCTTCATACACATTCACATATTTTTTGAATTTCCTTGTTTTTTAATATATATATTTTTTAAATCATACCATCAACAAATTAAAAAACTTTTTTATATAATATGTATTATTGTTATTACTATTATAAAATTTATATAAATACAATTATATAAATAAATAAATAAAATTGAAGTAAAAATAATATAATTGATAGATAACACATAACGCCACAAAATAATTTTGGTTGTACAAGGTGTTTAACGCGACAATAGGATGGGTCTTAAAGGCTATATATATATACAAGATCTTTCAGTTATCATAAAAATTAAAAATATATTTTAATGATGATATTTAAAAATGCCACTTTACTTTTTTATATTATGTGAACTTCGAAATTTTACCTGTTACACGACTTTATCTCGATGGATTTATAGGATTTTGACTCCTCTAAAAGAAACATAGTTTACTATAGCATTAACTTTGATGGACATGTGGTTAGGTACTGTGTAAAATTGTAAAATTCCACAACATAATAGAATAACGGTAGGTGTCTTGTAAGAGTGAGTACTGGGTTGTTTTCTCTTTCCTAGTAATGGTGTCTTTTCTTTTGGGTACACTTGTCAGGATCTTTTAACCTATTGGCTATTCTTATATATTCTCTCTTAGTATTTAGGTAGGTTTTTCTTTTCTAAAGGCACAAGATGCATTTGCAATTCTGTGATGTCTTCTTGCAGTGGTCACTCATTTTTCCCAAAAGAAAGTAGACTTCAAACTTACCGCCATCATCAAGGTTTTCTTATCTTCTGTTCAGGATTTTTTTTTTCAAAATCTTTCAGTTACTAGTAGTATTCTTTGCCCGAGTACCAACATTATAATCAATCGTTGCTGTTTCTCTGAAATTTTTTGAGGCTCTTGTACCACCTGTTTCCCTAATTAATTCATTCCAAATCACTGACAATTCTCAATTTACACCTTTTCTTTTAGCCCCCTCTTTGATAAAACAATGAAGTTGATGTGTTTTATTTTTTTTTCGAATATATTGGTAGATAAGTATTTATAAAGAAATATACTTACAAAAATCCTTTTCCTGCTTTCTAATGATGTATAGGATTATCCTACATAAAAATATAAATATGAAACTGATCTACATGTGACTAAAAATTATAATACAATTAAAACAAAGTGAGAAGATAGCTCCTTGTGCATTTAAATTAACCGATACTCAAGCATTTAAATATTATCAAGGAAAGAGGGAAAAAGTACCTACGAAGTTTACTGACAAGAAGGAAGAAAAATAATAAACACAAGGAAAAGAATGCAGTATAAAGGTGAATGATTATCTAATAAAAAGTAGGAAGAAAAGAATGATGTCGTCAAAATCTTACTATTGCATAATTGGGGAAGTAGTTTTTAAGGTAAAATAGGCAAAACATCTATCTACCCTTTCCTTTAGTTTTTTTAGAAATGTGATAAATAATAATAACTGTAATACCGAATACTAAAGTTATAACTGCTAATCGTAATCAAATATATTTACCATCATCAATTGCTTCTTCTCCTTCACATGTGTATGTTTTGAGATATGACTCTTATATTCTGCTGCTGCCTTTCCAAAATCTCTATCTTTGAAATCACTGACGCTAGTTTCTAGATGAGAAATATTTTAGCCTTGTCGATATCTATTGCAGGAAAAATCTGGGAAAGCATATATAGACTTTTCTAGGGAAGATTTTTCAAATTACGTCCATGGCCATCGATAAAAAGATCCAAGTCGGCATTATACTCTTTGATATAACCTCAGCAGTGAAAGAGAGTGTGTGTGTCGTCTTAAACATCTGAGGCAAGAGAGAATATAATTATTTCCTCTTCCATATCGATGTTTTTATTACTACCACTATTGTTAGATTTCAATGACAATTGGATGCAATAGAGTTCCTTAAAAAATATTTCCTAAAAATAAAATGAGTAATATTAACATTGAGCTCAAGTGTAGTGTTACCCTTTCCACGCCTACGCAAGAGCCTTCTCGTTACATTGATTAAAAAATCCAAACGATAAATGTAGTGATGGCATAAATGATGAAATAAGATAGGAATCCAAAGAAACAGATAGGATTGCATAAAAAAATTTTTGCACCCAATTGACCATTAATAAAAAGCAAAATATGAAGGATGTCTCAGATAACTATGATAAGATTTTAAAGATATAAGAATATAGATTTATACAAGGAATAAGAATATATAATCATACACATAAACCATTACATAGTGATAATAATAGAAAAACAGGGAAGTTGGGCATGTTCTCCTTCTAATGATAGAATAATAGATCCGGTTAAACGGTCAACGGTGGTAATCTCTAAAAAATATAAATTTTATAAAAATGGATTTGCATTCTAGGATATGCAACTTCTGATCATTTAACTGTTTTTGATTTGGTTTATTTGTGCCGTTTGTTGTTTAATATTGAAGCAATATACAGAGTAGAATTATCCATTTCTTTTAATTTTCTAATATAAATAAAAATAGAATTGACACCTGTGAAATTAAAAAAGGAAATTTTGGGTTGTACGTGCTTTTATTTTTCTCAATTAATTTTTTAATTTATCTAATAAATATATATAGTAATGAAATTTTTTCTGAATTCAAAAAATTGTTATATTATTTACATTTTCTTTCCCTTTTTATATAATAATAACTTTTAAACATGTCAGCAATCACTTACTCTACGAAAATGTCTCAACAACCAAATGTATTGCCATTATACTTTGATGTTATATTATCAGCTAGTTGGATCAAGAAGGCAAATGTATCTATGGAAATATTACGGAAAAGTTTTTATTCATCACATCACGTTGATTTTTAGATAAAATTATTATTCTAAAATAGTAATAGAATTATCCTCAATGTTTAGCTTGTTTGGGTGACCAATGGATGTTAAGCACCGGATATTAATTATTAAAAAGGTCTGCTGTCGCTAATATAGCTCAATAATGATCTTTGTTTGTCTCTAAAAAGAAGCAACTTTTATATGGAGGTAGGACTGTGTTAATTAATATCCTTTATTTGGCAATCCAGTATTGTAACACTTTGTGTATGAGAAAACAATTTATACTTTAATTAAATAAACATCTCGAAAATAATCAATTGAATTATTTACATACAAATATCTAACAAAAATCGCTTCCACTCGTCAATTGTATGCAAGTGTTGTTTCAATTTTTCGTGTTATATTTAAGGAGATCATTTAAGAGCACTGATCTCTATATGCGGAGGATCTATTATTTTAATAAAAATCAATTAGGAAGCTTCCCGTTTCCCAAATTAGAAATAATATATAATCGTTAATACTACATTTATTTCTCCTTTCTTACGATGAAAAAAAAAGTTCTTTAAGATTATATGCAAACAAAAATTTTTTATTCTCTAATCAAGATAAATAAATAAGCTGATTGCCAGATAAAAATAAATCATAATGTCTGAAAAATCCAAAAAAGTGATGAGAAAACAATTATTGTAAATGAAAATAATCTATCTCCTTGGACATTCGTTTATCACATTGTGACTTTGATTTCATTGGCTAAATTTTACAATGATCACCCTCCAAACAATCCAAATTTTATTGGCTTGAAGATCTTTTACAAAAACACAATTTATAATTTTTATATATATATATACAACTTTAAATAATAATAATTTTGTTTTTCAAATTGTCAATATTAAAACTGTTTTAGGATGGTCAACATCCAATGTAGTTAATTGAATATGGATATAAAATGTATGCATAAAATCATAATAAATAG